GAGCGGTGCGAGTCGTGGTGAGGCAGTGAGGGGTGTAGGTGGGCGGAGCGTGAGGGTTGAAGCGGGGGACGGGCTGACTTGGCGAGGGACTGAGGCTTCGCGCCCGCCTTCGAGGGTCCAAGGAAGAGGGGCGGGGCCCGCACGCATTATCGCACTCACTACAGCAGGGTGCGCGAGTGAAGTAGAGTATTCCGAGGTGAAGGCGCGTTCCCCGCGCAGGGGCGGTGTACGGGGAGGAAGGACGTATCAAAAGAAGGGAGAACAAGGAAAGGCGAAAGCAGAAAGCGTTTGGAGGGAGGTTGGTCATCACATGAAGCGCTTCTCCCAGATGGGACTTCGACGTAAACACTGAGATGCTTACTGGCTTGGAATTGGGAGGTTGAACAAAACATTGTGCAACGACTGAATTTGGTTTTGTAATTTCCACTACATAATCTACGCATTCGTGATACACAATGCTTATATTCGAGTTGTACAATGTCTACACTCATGTAATGAATATTGTTTCCGAGATGTACTAAGTGTAAATCAGAATATGTTAAATTGAATTACGTTGTGGCAGATGTCATCCTCATTCGTTCGAATCACGAGTACGGTGGCGTCAACGCATTGTCCGCACGAGGCGGCAGGACGTCTGAGGGGAGGGGCATGATTTCGCACTCACTGCAACAGGCCCCGTGAGTGATTGAGGAGACGAAGGTAAGCCCCAACGCGAGGAGTACACAGAGGGAGGTGGGATCAAAAGAAGGGACGAAGTACGGAGAGCGTTGAAAGGGGACGTCAGAGATGGAAATGGGTGATCGTACGAGGCAGTCGTTTACAAACGAGGTTCAGGCGTGAGATATAATGCACACTTTCTAACACAACGGAAAGATCAAAAGTCGATAAATTACGAAATGAAATTTTGTGAATTCCTTAACCAGTAAGTCTTTTATCAAAATGACTAAAATTTGAAATAAAAAATGAAATATTTGAAATTTGGTTAAGAAAGGCATTTGTAAATTCTATAGTTCAAATTCGGTCGATGATTCTATAAAATATATCTGTGGAGTTGGTCATTAGTGTATATTACTAAAATAAAATATGTTTTGTACACAACCATTTATTAACGTCAGACAATAATAACTTTGAAATCGTAATAATCATTAAACAAAAATCCTACCCTAGACAGAAAAAGTATGAAGAAATGAAACTTCCACCCTCCAGACAAATTTTATTACACTTACATTAATCAATGAACTCCAACGTTTACTATTTACTCTTTACAACTTACACTGTATTATTTATTCTTTAAATAATTGTTAATAAATTTATTTATTGGTAAATATTTTCTCAAAATTATATTGTTTACTATCTTCATTCATCAATTGTACCCAGATTTATATAAATATATCAGGTTTTATTTTTCGTTCACGTCGACATTATTCTGTTGATTTTATATTCGTTTGCAAACCATAATACTCTTCAATTTACACTATTATCGCCTTTAATGATCAATACAATTTGTTTCAGTCGTCGTAATTCACACTTTTCTCCTGTAAATCCAGATAGAGGCTTATATGTAATACAGTAATTATTGCTGTTTCGATCCATAGTTTATGTCCATATTGTTTTCTCTTGAATTGTTTCAAAACTGTTTTGGGATCATTCTGACTCGTCTCACTGCATATTTGAGTAAGGAAATATATAATGTGGGAGTGAAACAAATTCAAGTGTGATTTCGAATTATACGTTAAATATATCCGAGTTGTGAGGTGGAAAGTTGGTTAACGAGCATTTTGGTAATCACAAAGAACAGTCATTGGCAGCTGGAGGTCCGCACTACCTCAGGGTGACGCACTCACTTCGCTGGGATACTGAGATATGTAGAAAAAATAATAGATACCAACTTTCAGATTATAAATTTATTTCATACAAAAATGGTAGGAGGAACTAATTCCTAGATTCTGAAAAGCAAACGTTATTTCAAATACAGAATTCTTTAATCTATCAAAGTTGAATATACGCAAATAAAATAGAGAACACCAAACCATCAGAACACCAAATTTTATCCATGACAATGTTTCGTGCCATATGTCTTAAATACGCTTCGAATATCCACAATTATTAATATATGTCAGTCGTTTGCACAACGATTGACTTTCAGCTCATTTTTCAATTTTATCATCTTTCGCTAAGGAGCAAACAAATTGTCATAATTGTTTCGTACAGAAGTAGTAATATATTTATGAAGTAATTATATGTAAGAAGAAGTAATGGAAGAAGTCATAGAACAAGTACTGGAAATAGACGACGTACCAGCAGTAGAATAATTAGAAGAAGAGACTAGAAGCAGAAATTAACAACCAATCAGCAGAAATACGCCAAGCCCCACCTCGTTTACCTAAGAGAGGAAGGCACCGAAACAGATCTCCCCTTGGCCGCAGCACTTGATTCCCCGAAGGGCGAGGGCAGCGAGGGCGCAGGCAGCCCTAACAAGGGCGATCGGAGGAAGGGCACAGGCACAGGCTCCGATGTATGGCCCCGCGAAGCCCTAAGGGGATCGCCCGCCCATGGCTCCGAAGGGGGGCGGGGAGGAGAGAGACGGGGAGAAAGAGCCCTGTTTGTCTCACCGCCCTAATGTCTGGCATATTTAACGCTAAATAGGCTGAGCGCTCCTAACTTCACTGCAATTTCGATAAATCGCCAATTTAGACTGCACTACTTCATCGCGGTCGGTGTTCCAGGGCTTGGGAGCGTAAACGAGGGGTTGGGACACTCCCGAAGTAAGCTAGCCGCTGCGAAGGGAAAGGGTTTCTCGCTATTCTCAATGGCGGAGGAGGCAGAAGATGGTATATCCGGGACCGGGGGCGCCAGCACAAAAATGCATAATAATTACAATAATACCAACAATAACAATAATAACAATAATAATAATAATTACAATTATTTTAATTAGTATTCCTGTACATCACTACTAAAGATGTTATGAGTGAGCTAGTACTTCTACTCCATGTTGCAACCAACATACTTTGCGCAAAATGTGGGCTGTTCCAAATAAAGCAATTTCTTGCATTTACCAGGCTTTTGAAAAACAAGGAGCAAAGTTTGTATAATAATAATAATAATAATAATTATTATTATTATTATAATTATTATTATTATTATTATTATTATTATTATTATTATTATTATTAGTGAACTGTCCACATCTGACCACACTACACCATTAGCGTGTCTTACTATTGGGATCAGCTTTTCCGCTGCATCCCTTGATAAGACAAGGTTGTGAGGACTTTGACTCCGAATTATGAGGTGATTGGATGATGATGTTGATGATGATGATGATGATGATGATGATGAGAGGTCAAGGGGCAATGAAAAATACGACCATGCGTACGCAGGACTCGAACCTTTAGGCAGCCTTTTGGATACGAGTATTCATAAAAAATATATGTTGAGTATATAAGAAAATATAAATTACACGAGTGAAAATTCGAATTTTATTAGTACGTATTGTACGATACATGAAAATCGTAAGGTAAATGAACGATTCATAAAATTTATCTGTCACAGGGTGACACATGTATACGTTGGTTAACATTTACATAGAGACCAATTCAATCCACCTATCACAAATGCACGTGCTTTACAATAAATTCAAAATTGCATGTATATTACAAATCGGTTTCTTTACGAACTGAACAATATTATAAATTGTGATAGATGGTGAAGATTTAAAATTATTTACAGTTGATGAAGACACAAGCAATTAGACAATAAAGAATAATGTAATATCGAATTATAAAGTAATTCGGTTTCTGTAATTCAGTTTTGTACTCTGGGTACTTATAGATGAAATTGCAAATTTACGTAGATACAGAAGAGAATTAACTTACGGAATGATCTCCGCTACTGTTTCTGCGAAGACAGGTCGGTTTCAGTGTATACTGAAACATCAGTTCAGGTCTCAGATTCACGACTTCTCTCAGGAACCTGTAAATAACGAGCTTATATTGAATGCTTGTAACAAAATATAAACATTAATCAATGTCATAATAAAATGAAACAAAAAAAATATTTCTGGCTTGAGATCTTTCGTTTGACTATTTTACTCAAATGATTTTTAACGAATAATATTCAAGGATTAGTACCGTATCAGTGTGCAGAAATTATCATTTAAAATAATAGTCTTTGACTGATCTACTTTTCGACACTGAACATGTGATGTGTAAAACGTACTTTTGACATACGTCACAGTGACGTACTATTCTAAATCATACAATATTGTATTGTTGTATTGAAAACAGAATCAGTTCGATCGCCTGGAATTGATCGAGAAACCATGGAAAACTATTGATCTGCCAGCCTCAAGAATTCTCCTTCCGATAGCGGCTGAATTCAATATTCCAGTTTAGATAGTGTAGAAAATTCTGCCATCGACGGGACTCGAACCCTAAAATCTCCCGGTCAGAAGTACTGCAGTGACATCAATGCCCTAAGCCACCTCAGCCGGTTAAGAGTTTGTGTACCTGCCAAGCACCAATACGTGATAAATTGCGTATCATTCAGGGCCGCCATGACAACAATGTTGCTCGTGCAAATGAAACTTTACACACGTTTACTGACAAAATTCTCATTTACCTCGTGTAGAAGATTGTGACATTCATTCTGACCCAGCCTTTACCCTCTAACTAGAATCATGGTCATGAGCTCCCTCCCCCTCCCCGTTTCGCCATAGACCCGATCGCCCGGGCAGAGGTCCCGTCGTAGCAGCCGCCTGCAACGAGGGGAGAAGCTATTTGTCTCCGGGCCCCAAGGCACCGCTGGCCTCGCTGCTTATTCAACAGTAAATACGCCCTGCGACCCTCTCCCCGTTCTCCAACAATTTCGATAAATTGTCTGTTTTGGCTGGACTGCTTAGCCAAAGCTGGTGCAGCCGGCGGGGGTCGTTAGTCAAACACACTCCCACACCGGCATCACGCGTGGGAGATTAGGGAGAGATTTTTTTTATGACGTGTCTTAAGTCGTAAGATATAACATTTGTCGACTGTAAATTACAGCTTTTAAATCAATGAGTCATATGCTGAGTCCTACTCATGTCAAATTGAGTAATTTTATATTAATTTTTCTAAAATTGTATTTTCAATATTTTTTTTTTCAGATTTGATACCTATAAAACCTAGCATGGTTTACATATGCTGACAGATGTATGTTTGCTCTTTTTCTTATAAATATTTTAGAACGTATAAAATATATGTAAAATTGTTCATATAAAAATTAGTCATTTTAATATTAAAATTAGTTGTTTTGGTATACCATGTCATCGACGCACTATTGGTAATATCTCAACTACAGTAGTTATAGAGCTAATATTGCAACTAACAGCATTAATTTCAGAATAATTTCTTGAATACGTTCTGAAGGATTGGAACATTTGCCAAAAATGTATAGTTTTTCACTATCACGTTTTCAACACACACACACACACACACTTCCCTACCGCACATGTTGGGAGACCTGTCAGGAGCTTGAGAGCTTGTTCTCGCTGGGGAGGTGCACTGCTGGTGGAGATACCTGGATTGGAAAACAACGTAAGCCGACGTGTAGATAGGCGCCGGAAACTACCACCCAGTCGGGGGAGGTTCTCCGTCACTTCCCGCGAAAAACATGCACTACACTTTCGGGACTTATGTCCATAGCTGTTGAAGCGCCCGGAATCACTAATCAATCATTCAACCTATCCAACTAGTCGCCTGATTGTACATGAATTTTCTTTATTTAGGCAATGGAATGCGTGCAAAGCACGTCATTATCAAGTCTGGACTTTGAGGAAGTTGTCCAAAATCATGATGAAATTTGAAGCAATTTAAGTTATAAATAAATATTCCCAAATATTGTGAAGTATAATTGTGATATAAGTTACCATGACAGATGATTCAATGACGAAATAATGGAAGCCATCACCGTCAACTTAATAGTAAGTTAATATTAAGTTGACATTGATGACTTTCATTATTTCATGTAATTACATGAATAATACCACATCACAATTCCCACAATTGATGATCCAAAGTATATAAATGAAAATTTTACTGCATTAAAGTTATTGTTATCAATTTCTTTACTTTCTATGATGATTAAAACTTGTATTTAAATATCACAATATATTTTAGTATATTATAGTTGAACATTGCGGTAGTATAATAATTGCTTTTCTCGAGTCAAACCCCAATTGACAGAACAGTTTTTCAAAACAATAATTGCTCGATTATACTTCTATCAGAACGATGTAATTTTCCGAGAATAATGAGGATATGTTCAGATACAGGCTTAGAATGAAATCTTTCGTCCTTAAAAAATTAAATCGATCGGTCACAGAGACCGCAAAACTATGTTATATGACTCAAATACAATAATGACGGTTAACGGTTAAATAAACTTAAAACTCGAAAATGTGAATATGTTTTTTTAAACTTTTAACTCTCTTAAAGTCATCTTTTCAATTAATAATGCCCATAAGTAGTCTTTTCAATTAAAAATACGTTACCCAGGAAATATTCAGTTTGAAGGAAAATAAGTTTCGAGTGATTCAACTCAAAACTGAAGAAATGAGGAATCTCATAGAGTCGTAATTATTTCAAGAAGGACAAGATGTTTAAGCAACATCAACGGTAAGAATGGATCTACAATCGAATCGACATCATTGAAATCTGGCTCATATATAGTGGAGAACTTTGGAATGTGGCGTCTTGCAAATTCACTTGTAACTGAAGTGTGATTGATTACAATTAACATTAAATTTACTCTGCTTATTTTGTGATAACAAATAATTACCAAATGCCTGCATTGAAAATGTTTTAATTCATTTTAATATATTCTTTATATGTTCGTGAATATTTGATATTTCAACCCGACCGACTATTTTAATGTAATTTTTTTATTTATCAAAAAACAGTGAGTACCGTATGTGAAAACGTGCCTGTATGAAGACTTACGTGGGAGAAGCGTAATTATGTAGGAATATTTGTACTATTGCTGAATTTGTAGCGATGATATTTAGTTGCCCCGCAATGGTAGAGGGTGTAATAATGGATACATTTACTCAGCACCAGAGTGCTTGTTATACCGTTATCCTTAAATTATGTATTAGAGGTAGTTGAGGTGTTTCATCGCATGATCTCGTTCATGAGCGAAGTCTGCTTCGGTGCATCGTCCCCTTACAGGAACTGCCTTTCTCGACCGAAGTTCGTTCGGGTGGTGGCGGTGACGGTGGCGACGGTAGAAGTGTAGGAGATGGAATAGTAAGTGGAAGTGATGTGAAAGTGAAAGGGGAGGTTCTCAAGGAGATGGAGGTGAAAGAGAAGGAGGAAGTGAAGATGGAAAAGAAAGAGGAAGGGAAGGGGGAAGTGGAGGAGAAATAGGTGGTGGATGGGGGAGGAAGGGAAGGAGGAAGTGGAGGTGGAAGATGTGAAGGTCGAAAGGTGAATGAGGAAGAAGTGAAGGAGAAGGCGGATTAGGAAGAAGTAGAGGTGGAGGAGGAGATGGAGGCGGTGGCGTGAACTGAGATGGAGATGATGGTAGACGGGGAAGTGAGCGAGAAAATAGAAGAGTAAATGGAGGTAAAAAGAGAGGTGAAGGAGGTGGGGTGGTGTATGAGGTGGAAGCAGTGCCGGCAGAAGAGGCAAGGACGGAGACGGCGACGGTGGCGGAGGTCGCAACATTGGCAGTGGCGACGGGGAGGGGGCAGGAGCGGGGGCGGCGACGGGCAG